AACCTTGTCCTCAGCGTGAGGAACCTTGTCCTCAGCGTGAGGAACCTTGTCCTCAGCGTGAGGAACCTTGACGTCAGCGTGAGGAACCTTATGCTCAGCGTGAAGAACTTTGTTCTCAGCGTGAGGAACGTTGTCCTCAGCGTGAGGAACCTTGTCTTCAGCTTGAGCAACCTTGTCCTCAGCGTGAGGAACCTTGTCCTCAGCGTGAGGAACCTTGTCCTCAGCGTGAAGAACCTTGTCCTCAGCGTGAGGAACCTTGTCCTCAGCGTGAAGAACCTTGTCCTCAGCGGGGGGAACCTTGTCCTCAGCGTGAGGAACCTTGTCCTCAGAGTAAGGAGCCTTGTCATCATATAAATTTGATTATCGCGTATCATGTTTATTATTACTATTATAAAATAAATCGAAATAAACAAAGCAAAATCACAGTTCACGAAACAGAAATCTTTAATTCTCATTTCACGAAGCATTTTTATCAACAATCACGCCTCACGGCTGTTGAACAAATCACATTTGACGACACTAAAATCAAGCATTTCACATCTCACGCGAACAAATATTGACCATTCACAGGTCACAATATACCCTTTCCCACCCTCTAATTAGATATTTCCGTATTTCTTTAATCATTCAAGTACCTAAGCAACTTGGCAGTCAAGCACATGTACATGAACTAAAAGTAATTATATTAATGAATGATGGCAATATACTCTGACTAAAATTAAAGTACTTGTTCACGTTCAGGAGATCAACACATCACGAATATTTTAATATTTGTAGTGCATGAGTTTCATTTTGTAAGCAAATAAGTCATGAAACATGCATCTAAATCGTGAAGATTGAAGAACCAATATCTGACAATAAAAACTTAAAAGGTTGCTTAATATAGACAATGAATAAATAATACATTAATGATATCGATTTCCTGATTTCCTGAACGTGAACAAGCGGTTAAAACATCTTGTAAACTCAATGGACAATGGGTACAACAACCGTTCTAGGCAATGTTTCGACTTTAAAGGTTACTTACATGTTGAAATCAAGTCAAAATATTACCGAATTTTGTAGTCTTGTCTATAAATTAAATAAGCTCGAATCTTCACCTTACAAGCAGAAGCCGCGGAACCTGAGGGGACCTTAGAGGCAGGCGCTCTTTTTCCCATCAATTAGAGGAATTATAAAGTGCCCCGTTATAGCTAAGAAATCGACAAATGCCCTGTCTTATTGTTATGCACGTAAACAAGGACAGACATAAAGAGTATATAAGATTTTGTCAAAAACGACCGGAATTTGCTGGCAATTCTCTTTAAATTCATGTCTAATTAATATGTCAGTTCATGTTCAATTTAGGACGCAGAGCTATTAGAGAATACGTATAACATCCGAGGCTGTATATTGTATACGCCCAAACCTAGGCTAAGGACACATCTAACAACATATTTAGAATGTTTGCTGACTCAAGAGCCCTTTCTGGTCAGCGCCCCCTCACTTTTGGGGTACCTCCGCGGCCTCTGCTTACAAGATGTTAAATTAATATTCGGCGGAGTGCATTGTTTTATCTTATAGTTCGCGAAATTGTCGGCTGCAGCATGCAGGTAAAGGATTATTTGCTTACAAATATGACAATGGAGTGAATGGACAAATATTGATTCTCTGCAGTCAAGAGTCTCCGACCTTGCCAAGAGAATGACATGCATGTCTTCAGCTATATAGACTACATTTTATCCAGACAAGAAGGACGAAAACTATCATTATAGGTTAAAGGAACATCCTTAAATTTAGTAAAATTGCCAAATTTGGTTGCAAAATTTGTAAAATACGAAAAATATAGGCATGTGAAATTGGCAAATTTTGAGTATTTTACAATATTTTGCATCCAAACTTTGCAATTGTTACTAATTTTAGGATGCTCTTTTGATCTATAATGATAGATTTCGTCTTTTTTGTCTAGATAAAAAATTAGTCGATAGCTGGAATCATCCATTATATTGTCTGTTCTTTTGTCTTGGTCACGACCTCAAGCCAACACCGCGGAAAAACGTCTGCGCATGCACCAAATTATGAAAATATGGCGGGTAATTTGAATATCAATTTCTAAAACAAAAACATGCTTATTAATTGGTCAAAAATTAGTAAAACAAACGAGAAAATATAGCAAATGGGTAGACTAGACATTAATTCAAAGCGTCCTGGGGCCGGTTGTATAAAACTCTTAACTACATTTTAACTACCCGTTTCGTAGTTAAATGGTAGTTAACTCTAAAATACGCGATTCTGATTGGTTAACTTTCACACTAACTATAGTTAACTTTAACTACGTTTTTATACAACCGGCCCCTGGCATTTAAAGTATGGAATGAAATATAATTCATGTAAAAAAATGTTGATTTTAACGGACACGACTTCGAAAATTTTTGCAAAATTATTCAAAACAAAAATTCAAACTAAAAAGTTAAGAAAACTCTC